GGGTAGACGTCGCCGCTCCAGACCGGCGTCGTCGGCGTCAGCGTGTGCGTCAAGTCAATGTACGTGGCGTCGGCGAGGCCGTCGGCAAAGGCCGACCAGAGGCCCGGCGCGCTCGGCCGGCGCGCGTGGTCGGCCACAGCGGATATGAGCAGCGTGCTCAGCGTCACCACCTTCATCTGCGCTCGAGCTCTCGGAAAGTGAAATGAGCGGAATTTCGAACACCAAAATTTCGAAGCCGATCCCACTGGTCAGTAGCATGTTGAAGCTGTACGTTGACGGGGCACGGACGCAGCGTCCTCAGGATCGCAGGATTCTGGGCCTCAGCGATGGGTCCTAGAGAGCATTGTCAAGCATAGTCCTTCTACGAGCTGCCCAGCAGGGACAGCTGTGAACGCACCAAGTACGATGAAGATATGCTCCTTGGCAATCTGGTCGGTCGCTATCAGTTCGCCCGATCATCTCGGCACAGTACAGCGTATGCCTGCGGCCTCCCGAGTCATCGGCATCAACGAGTGGACCAGCTTGCCCGAGCTCCTCGCCCGGTCGCACAAAGCCAAGGCGTAGGTAGAGAGCTCGTATCGGCAGCGCCTTGACCAGCCGTGCTCGCGTGGGATCTCCAACTGGAGTTGTTATGTGCCGGTGTTGAAGTCCAGCGGATTATCCGGATACCAGCGCGACGATTTCAATCGTCATGTGGCGCCGGCGAGTGGCGAGCGTGGTCACGCGGCGGTGGTCGTCGACGTGCGCCGTCACGTGCGCCGACAGCCTCATCGCACTCATCAAGAAAGCGCCAGGTCGCAACGACACTGATGATGCGCGCGACGTCCTCCGCAACACCTCGGCCATCGATCTGAGTGTCACGGACGCCTATGGCTCGACGGCGCTGACGCTGGCCGCCCGCGGAGGCCACCTCGAGCTCTGCCACGACCTCCTCGACGTACTGGACACGCCACGCAGCACGGCGCCGCGCGCGACGGTGTTGAACCAAGCCAACATGTTTGGGTCGACGCCGCTCATGTGTGCGAGCGCGTCGGGCCACGTGGACGTCTGTCACCTTCTGCTGGAGGCTGGTGTTGACGTCGACGTCCGTACGCGGTACGGCTCGACCGCGCTGAGCAAGGCGGCGGAAGCAGGCCACGCTGCGATCGTCGACGCGCTGCTCGCTGCCGGTGCCACGTCATCGCCCAACGCGCTGGGAAAAACACCGTTCGAGCTCGCGGAGGCCAAGGGCCATGTTCTGCCCCAGCTTCAGGAGGCGCCCATGAAGGACGAGCGATGCAGCGCGCGGGTCACGAGCTGGCGAAGCGCGTCGCTGATCGAATGCCAATTGACATCAACCGGCGAGTTCGTGCTCGTCGAGAAAGCGGACGCCCGCCAACGCACGCCCATCAACGCGGCGCTCGAGCTCACGTTTGCTGACGGCCGCTGGCACATCGCGCACGTGCCTGCGTCGACTCGCCCTGCGAAGCAGCGCTGCTTGCACCCGCGACGACCGTTCGAGAAGAAGTGCGTCGACTGCCCCGACAAACGGTAACTGCGTAGGAGGACTACCAAGTCTATGTACGAATCAACGGTGGTCGCCAGACGTCGTATCTAGAGACGAGTCTTTGACAGAGAAACGATGCGTGCATTCTTCCTGTAGCAACGACGTCATGGCGACAGGTAGCGTATGGTCGAGTACGAGGACTAGATACGAGGACTAGAGCACACACTTGATAATGCAGTGGGTGAATGGCGTGGGGTCCATCAGCTGAGCTCTCTGTGCGTCGGGAGATCACTGCGAGCGACGACCCGACCGCAGCCATCTTTGTCCTCGTAGCGAGCGACGCCAGGCCAATCGGTGCCGAGTCGCCGCAGCAAGCACGGCCAACGAATCACACTCGGTGCTCAATGCAACTCATACTCACGTTATACAACATTAGGACGGGACGTTTCTCTACTCCGCCGCCGACGTACGACGGCTGACGACCGTTGCGACGCCGATCCCAATCAGCGAGAGCGCGGCCGGCAAGAGAATACCGAGGAGATACCACAACGGCGCCGGTTCGTCACAGCCTTGGCCGCCCGCGAGAATCGTGCAGCTCGTCGCGTCGTACATGGACATGAGTGTGCCCGTGATGGAAACCGATAAGATCGTCATAAACGCAAAGAAGAGAAAGGCGGCGACGCGCGGGTAGCGACCGCCGGTGCGCTTGAGCTCGGCGACCGCGGCCTTTTGATGCGGCAGCAAGTAGACGAAGAAGCAGCCGAGCAACGTCAAGCTGTACCCAATCACGTACGTCCATGCGACGTCGGCGCGAATGTCGGGCGTGTCGGCCTTGATGCGCGTGGTCGAGATACGGAAGGGGACGTTGATGACGTTGGTGATGATGCTCGTAAAGAGGCCTGGGAGGTTCATGACGGTCGTCACAAGACCAAACATGACGCCTTCGTTGCCCGTGCCCGCGAGCTCGGCGATGACAAACATACTCACCATCGAGTTCATTGCATTCGGGATCATTTCAGCGATCGGGACGCCGAGGAAGAACCACTGGTTGCGGACGACGTCAAAGATCGTAGAGAACATGACGGCGGCGTCGATGACGTTGGTGAGAAGCGTCGTCCAGACGATGACCGCGCGCCAGTTCCAGTGCGTCCCGATCTTGCCGACCGTCACAAGCATGCCAATGTACAAGAGCTTCCCGACCGTGTACATGACGGTACTGTTGAGGTTCTCGACTTTGGCCCAGTAGAGCTTGACGTAGCCGCCGGCGGTGGACCCAATGCCCGTGAACGTGTTGAAAAGGAAGTTGAAGAGGAGCACTTGCCACACAACGCGCAGTTGGAGGAGGTCCCAGAGCTCCAGAATGTACTTGCGAAAATTGACGCGCGTCGATTTGTCGTCTTGGAGGAAAAAGTATACGATCGGCAGGTTGAGAACGACGGGGACGGCCAGAATCCAAAAGAAGGTGTTGAGACCAATGTCCCAGTCGTAGTGGCCGCCAAACCGCGACGAGTTGAGGCAAAACCCGGAAACGTTGGTGACGAGCGCAGCTGCAAACCCTCGGACAGCGTACACGAGCGACACAAGACGACCGCGGACGGCCTCGGGCTCGAGCTGCGAGTACGAGACCGTGAGTGCGTCCTGGGCGACGTCGGCGATGATCATGGCAAAGCACACCACCGTGCAGACAAGCGCAAGCGACGACCCGTTGTGGGTTGCCGCTGGGTCGGGGGCGCCGGCGCCGGCGGGACGCAGCGCCACGTAGACGAGCAGAATGGCCGTGACGGTCCAGCCGCCGAGGATGTACGGCTTGCGGCGGTAGCCAAAGATCGGGACGCAGTCCGTGAGCATGCCAAAGAAGACCTTTAACGACCACCCGAGGGTCATGAGCGTGCCCGCCGAGTTGAGGATGTTGGGGGGGAGCTGGTAGTACGCCGTCAAGAACGGATACCCAATCGAGTTGGTGCCGCCAATGACGACGCCGAGGATCGCGTACTGAAAGAGGAAAGCGAGAATCTCGGGTGACGTGTAGACGAGCGCGCCGCCTTCACGAAGCGCGCCGTCCTCGTCAGCTTCGAGGTCTCCCGGCGTCTTGGCGGCGAGGTAGTCGGGCGAGAGCTTCTCGATCGGGTCCATGGATTTGGTGTACGAGATGCGCTCCGCGAGCTCGAGTTCGTCACCGCGCAGCGTCGACTGCACCATCGGGGTGTCGATCAAAGAGGGAAATTGAAAATGAGCGATCGGCGCAGCACCGGTATATAAGGTGGCACAACCAAAAGGCAAGGAGGACCGGCAAACATCGTGGCACGGGGTCGGGTGACGCGATGGGTGTAGTGGGATGAAGATGACCGCTCCGTGGGTGCCTTGAATCCTTGCACAAGGATCGCCTGTGCTAAGCTAATGCTGACCAGCACATCGAGGATTCTATCTTCTCGAGGTGTCTACGACTGCATCTAGTCCTGCTCAAAGCGGGCGCAGCAAGCAAGCGTTGCGCCTGGCATTGGAATTTGATGCTCCGAACCGCTCCCTCGAAAACATGTGTTTTGGTGGTGTGTTTTTGGACGGTCCACGAGGCGCGTCTCTGAGAATGAATCGGCTCGTCGCACGGCAGTTTTGTTTTCTATGCGTTCGATGCCGTTCATAAAGGTTATACACCTTATCTAGTGCTGTATGGAGTAATCGGCTGCGACGCGATGACGCAGTGTCCCTCGTCGTCACGACCGCTCACCACTTCGGGGCCGAAAGCACGCCCGTCGAGCAACACAAACCCATGAGACGCCGCGGCAAGCGTTGTTCTATCCGCTCAAACGCGCTCAAAAGAACAAGACTGTGCTGCGGTACCGTGCGATCGAGGGATCTGGCTGCGCCCCGTGCCACCCGTGTGCACCTGGCTACGACACGAACTAAGCTGTGCCGGAAGAACTCTAGCGGTAGCGTGGCAGGGCGGGGGACGCCTTTGTCTACCCGGTGTTGACTTCAAAACGCGACCACCGACACTCACTGCTTGTCGAGATGGACGAGACGCCAGGTGAACAAAGATTTCTGTCGGTCAGGTCCCCAGAACCTGATTCGATGGAGGAGTGGCCGACTTGGTCCTCGTGTACATTCGCTGTACGCTCTTCGCCTGGAAACAAGATATGCAAAGCCAATTTATTTTTCATTTGCAGTAACGACGACAACAGCATAGGAACGACGTGTTCGCTCCGAATGGAATCGAAAGTCCATCTTAAGCGCTCTCCTTGGAGCTGTGCCACTTGACGGCAAAGATCCCGACGATCGAGAGCAGCGACGGGATGGTAAACCCGAGCAAGTAGAGCTGCGACGCGCCTTCCTCACAGCCGTCGCCGCCCGCGAGGAGCGTGCAGCTCGTCTCGTCGTACATGGACGCCAACGTGCCCGTTACCGAGACGGACAAAATTGTGATGAACGCAAAGAAGAGGAAGGCGGCGACGCGCGGGTAGCTGCCGCCGGTGCGCTTGAGCTCGGCGACCGCGGCTTTTTGATTCGGCAGCAGGAAAATAAAGAGGCAGCCGAGCAAGGTCAAGCTGTACCCAATCAGGTACGTCCATGCGACGTCAGTGCGGATCTCGTCCGAGTCGGCCTTGATGCGCTTGGACGAAATGTGGAAGGGCACGTTGATGACGTTGGTGATCATCGAGCAAAAGACGCCCGGGAGGTTGATGATCGTGGTGACGAGGCCGTACATGACGCCTTCGTTGCCGATCGTCGCGAGCTCGGCGACGACAAACATGCTCACCATCGAGTTCATTGCGCTCGGAATCGTCTCGGCGATCGGGACGCCGAGGAAGAACCACTGGTTGCGGACAACGTCAAAGATCGTACAGAACATGACAGCGGCGTCGATGACGTTGGTGACGATCGTGGTCGCGACGATGACGAAGCGCCAGTTCCAGCCAGTACCGTACTTGCCCATGGCGACGAGCATGCCAATGTAGATAAAGTTGCTCAGCGCGTGCATGGCGGTGCTGTTGAGGTTGTAGACTTTGGCCCAGTAGAGCTTGACGTAGCCGCCGGCGGTGGACCCAATGCCTGTGAACGCGCCAAAGATGAAGTTGAAGAGGAGCACTTGCCACACAACGCGCAGTTGGAGGAGGTCCCAGAGCTCCTTGATGTAGTGGCGAAAGACCACACGCGGCGTCTTGTCGTCCTGAAGGAAAAAGTATACGATCGGCACGTTGAGGACAACCGGGACCGTCAAGACCCAGAAGAAGGCGTTGAGGCCAATGTCCCAGTCAAAACTGCCGCCATACCGCGTCGAGTTGAGGCAAAAGCCGGAGATGAGCGAGATGATTGTGTTGGTGAAATTGCGGACGGCGTACACGAGCGAGATGAGACGACCGCGCGTCGCCGCGGGTTCGCGCTGTGAGTACGAGAGCGTTAGCGCGTCTTGGGCCACGTCGGCGATGATCATGGCAAAGCACACCACCGTGCAGACAAGCGCAAGCGACGACCCGTTGTGGGTTGCCTCTGGGTCGGGGGCGCCGGCGCCCGCTGGACGCGATGCCAAATAGGCAAGCAGTACGGCCGTGACGGTCCAGCCGCCGAGGATGTACGGCTTGCGGCG